GAAATGCTAATTGCGCCAAAACGAGTGGCTTTGACCGGAACTCTAGTACCTAGTGAGCGTTGTTGGGGAGGAGCCTGGTATGTCACACATATATAGACATTCGTGTGCAATTACACACGTGCATAGCACAGATACGTGCACGTCCACGCGGGAATGCATGTGTACATGTTTGCATGCATACACATATATATGTATATCCATACATACACTCAATTGACATCACAGTCTTCGGGACACCCCCATAAGCGCTCCGTCCGCATCTTCAGCAGCAGGCGAAGAGACAAAATTCCGATGGTAGCAATAACAGTCCGATTGTATATCTGTCTCGCCTCTCCCCTGTGTATCGAGCGTCGGCCAGATCCCCTTGTAACTCCTCGCTGCGCCATTCTCCTCGGACCGTAAGGATCTGTTTATTCCTCGTCACTGTTCACTCGATCCCAAAGGGCTCTCACAATATCCAGCTTGTCGTACCTCAGTTCACCACCAAGCGGTGCAGAACCGGCCAGTCTATCTGCCTGCTCATTTCCCAACACATCGACATGACTCGAAGAAAATATTCAGAGGATGCTAACTACCCGGGACCTTTAAAAGGATGCTTGCCACTCTGCATGGCATGTCTAAGAACAGCTACAGGAGTGACCAGAATAGATAGAATCAAGAGCACTAGTCGGCACAGAACCTATTCTGAACTGCACACAAAAACAGCAATAAAATGGTTTGTCCGCTTAGAGAGGGTGCCTTGTGATGCCATGCCATACAGGGGAGCGGGACCTAGAGCAAGGGGTAGACCAAGAACAAGATGGGACGATAACATCGTAGAAACTCCACGGCTGTACGATGTGTCTATGGTCAAGGTGACCAGAACAGTCAGAAACGAACCTTAAATCTCCCTGGACACCCGAAGCCGGATAAGTGGAATTGAAAACGCAGTTAGATAGATAGGATTCGATAGATGGATGATAAAAAAGCTCGTCTCTGTTAGAAAGCAATTGCAAACTATAGAAAGTTAAAGTTTTCTAGCGAAGTCGGACTGTAAATGCTCTTACTGGCTTAGGACGTCATGTTTAGCAGTTTTCTGCAGCTGAAAATATATCTTTTGCGGACCGGGAAAATTGGAACTGTACACAATTGGCGGGCCGGGAAAATTAAATATACTTATTTTACGGACCGAATGACAGCTAAGATGAAAGCAAAAACAAATATAGATACAAAAAATAAAACTAATGCACATATATATGCATATGTACATAGCGTGGTATCTATTGAAGCCAGTGTTATAAAATATATATTTTAACCACTGCGACATGTGCTGCGCCTACACTCTTCTTCTTCTTCTTCTTCTTCTTCTTCTTCTTCTTCTTCTTCTTCTTCTTCTTCTTCTTCTTCTCTTCCACATTTTACCTCGTCGAAGTGTCGGGGGAAGAGGTAATGTTCGTTCATGAGATGTGTCAAGACCACTATTAAGACTGATGTTCATTTCTGTAAGGCTGTTCTTAATGCCATCACTCCATATTTCCGAGGTCTTCCACTCGCTCTATATCCGTTGTAACGTTTTAGTGTGGCTCGCTGTGGTGGATAGTACCAGGGCATTCTTGTTAGGTATCCAAACCACTTCATTGATTGAAAGGTCATATATACGCGGATGGAGCGTTGTTTCTGAGACACGGTGCGCTGCAGTATCTATTCGATTTCTGTGTTCGGTTTTTATTACTGACAGGGTCTATATTTCTGACGCTGCCTTGTCACATGCAGCGTCTCATTCGCTTATCAGCAATGTAGTGAGTTGATCACGTACTCGCTATATGATTGAATATACAGTTTGGCGGATAGCCAAACATATTGATTAGCACTCATAGAATGGAATTGAAAAACAAAGATTAATGGACACCTCTAAATGACGACAGTGCCTTGCTGTCCGTATTCCATAGTTGTGGATTCAAGGTGTACGATAAACGTTGCTAATGAAAGCACCTTTTAGGGGAATGTTTAGTCGTTAGATGGTCACGCGCCCTAGTACACTTGTTTCTGAATATGCAGGTGACATGTTCGATTCTCGGCAAGGTTACTGTAGTTGTGATTTCTTCGTTGTCTAGCGTGTCCTTCCGTCTCTCTTCTTTTTTTTTTCTGTGGATGCCAATCAATACATGTTTATTTGTTTAAATATCTCAACCCCCTCCTCCCCCCCCCCCCAACCGTGTGTTTAACTTATTGAAATGTAAATGCACCTCTGAAGTCATGGTTCTCTTTGTTTCAGAAACGCGAGGTGAAATTCATGATCTGCACCGATGTGGCTGCCCGAGGAATCGACATTAGTGGACTCCCCTACGGTGAGTGTGATCCTGTTTAAAGGAGAGAGATGATATTCATGATGGTTGCACTGATAGGTTATTACACCCCCCCCCCCACCCCCCTTTCAACCTTCCCTTGTATCCAGCTTCGGTACATAAGTATTGAACAACTCAGAGACTCCCCGTGTGACTTCGGGGGACCCACTGCCCTATAACAAGCATGTCGTTGAAGTCGGCTGTTTGGGATGTTTCTTTTGAAATCTGAGCGGTGAGGAACCAACAGTCTGCATACGGTAAAGCCAAATCTTTTTTAAACTGATGTGCACGCAAAACTCAAGTCCTGGACAACAACTTAAAAGTCCAGAAATAGATGACCAACTAGAGGTTTACACCGGTCAACTCGAAGAACCACTCCAGCCAAAGGCAAGCTCTTCTTTCTTCTGCGTTTACCCGACTTTCATTCATACCGACAATGGTATAAACTTCGAGCCATTGGCAATGGCCAACTACTCAGTCGTAAAATTGCCTAGTAGAATCCAGATGTGAGGCATGATCAATTCGCATGGCATGTGTGAGCGCTGACAGGTAACGACTACGCTGGAAAGTGGGTGTCACGTGACATTCCCTCCTCTTCGCTTCGCTGTTGAAAGAATACGATGGCAGCTATCACCGAAGTACTTGTAGCTTTCACAAGTTAGTTTTTATGAGCATACAGCGAGCGTTTCTTTTCTCTGTGTCAGTACCTTTAACAAACATTACCTGCTCAGCCAGACTAAACCAAATTGAGTATTTGTAATAACAGTTGATCCAAGAACTGACATCATAATACTAGGGGCATTACCATAAGCGCCCCGTCCTCGTTTTTTGCAGCCAGCGCAGAGATCCACTGCCAGTGGTGCTAATAGCATTCTGATTATACCTCCTACTTGTCTTTCCCCTGAGATCCGAGTATCAGCCAAAACCCCTCGCCACTCCCCGCAACATCACTCTCAGCAGACTGTCATGATCCATTTGCTCCTCCAAACTACACGTTCTCCAACAAGGCCCTAACCACGTCTGCCTTATCATGCATCTATATTCCACCAAGCTGTGCAGAGCCAGCCGCTCTATCAACCTGTTCATTTCGCAACACACCGGCATACCCCTGAGAAAAGATTGAGACTATGCTCCTCACCCGTGACCTCCGAAGCGAAGCATGACACTCTGCACGAAGCATACCTGTCCTCACCTTCTTCAGCATTCTAGTAAGCAAGAATAATAAATAGTCGGAATAACGCACTTTTATGTTGCACTGGAAAATGTGGCTCTGATTAAAACTGGTACCTGCACGTCTGGTTACATGCACGCCTGGCCACTAATAATACCACAGACAACCAAATATCACAGAAAGATATAAAACCCAAGAATGATTATATCAGCCAGCCTCACAGTGTAAAAGACACAAACGAACAGTGAACGTTGCGGCTATAAAGCCTTCATCAGCTCTACATAAATAAAACAAAACCACGCGAATACACACAAATCACTTAAAACAGAAATCGCTTTACAAACGACCAGCACCTGCTATGGTTGACCTGCCAGGTCCTGTAAATCAGCGTTCAACCTTTGACAGCTGCTTATGAAAACAGGAGAAATGTTTTGAGGATATGTGTGTGTGTGTGTGCGTGCGTGCGTGCGTGTGTGTGTGTAAGACTACAGTTATCAGTGTGACATCATTTACTTAGATGTTAGAAAATCTTATATACATGGCTGACGCCTTGTTTCTGAGAGACAAAGCAATAACAGCCGTTCGATTTCTTCGTTTTCGACTGTAACCGCTACAGGATTCAGCGGGCATTTTTCTTCCAGACAGCCAGAAAGTTTCCGAGGACTGTACTTGAAAAAAACACCAGTCTATAAAAGATATGTAATTTTTTATTCTTCTTCTGTCAGTCGGTAATTGATGCCATGGTGATATCTTTCAGTGATCAACGTGACGCTGCCGGATGAGAAACAGAACTACATTCACCGCATTGGTCGTGTAGGTAGAGCCGAGAGGTGAGTGTGTCTTTAGCTTTGTATGGAGTTTCTTCTTTAGCTTTGTGTAGTGTGTGTCCTGTAGCCTTGTGTGAAGTGTGTCATGTAGCTTTGTGTAGAGTGTGTCATGTAGCTTTGTGTAGAGTGTGTCATGTAGCTTTTTGTGGAGTTTGTCCTGTAGCTATGTGTAGAGTATGTCATGCAGCTTTGTGTGGAGTGTGTCATGTAGCTTTGTGTGGAGTGTGTCATGTAGCTTTGTGTGGAGTATGTCATGTAGCTTTGTGTAGAGTGTGTCATGTAGCTTTGTGTAGAGTATGTCATGTAGCTTTGTGTAGAGTGTGTCCTGTAGCTTTGTGTAGAGTTTGTCCTGTAGCTTTGTGTAGAGTGTGTCATGTAGCTTTGTGTAGAGTGTGTCCTGTAGCTTTGTGTGGAGTGTGTCATGTAGCTTTGTGTAGAGTGTGTCATGTAGCTTTGTGTAGAGTGTGTCATGTAGCTTTGTGTAGAGTATGTCATGTAGCTTTGTGTGGAGTGTGTCCTGTAGCTTTTTGTGGAGTTTGTCCTGTAGCTATGTGTAGAGTATGTCATGCAGCTTTGTGTGGAGTTTGTCCTGTAGCTTTGTGTGGAATTTGTCCTGTAGCTTTGTGTGGAGTTTGTCCTGTAGCTTTGTGTGGAGTTTGTCCTGTAGCTTTGGTGGAGTGTGTCATGTAGCTTTGTGTGGAGTTTGTCCTGTAGCTTTTTGTATAGTTTGTCCTGTAGCTTTGTTTAGAGTATGTCATGTAGCTTTGTGTGGAGTGTGTCATGTAGCTTTTTGTATAGTTTGTCCTGTAGCTTTGTTTAGAGTATGTCATGTAGCTTTGTGTAGAGTGTGTCGTGTAGCTTTGTGTGGAGTTTGTCCTGTAGCTTTGTGTGAAGTTTTTCCTGTAGCTTTGTATGGAGTTTGTCCTGTAGCATTGTTTGTCTTGTGTTGTAGTTATGTCCTTATTTACTGGCGTTGCCCCTGGAGAACGCGTCCAGACAACCGCATAAGACTATTCGACTGTCAAGGAAAAGTCGAGCCAAATTATGTTAATTCCCCAAAATCGAAGGATCTGTGTGCAAAACTAAGTCTTGGAACAAGGCCAAAGTGTAGAGGTGCTTTTCACCGGAGTTTACAGCAGGTGAAATGTCTATGCATGAACAAACTGTTCCTGGAACGAACCCGTGACCTGCAAATTGTTTTTATGAAATCATGCAGCGAAAATGTATCAATGCCAGAAGATGGATAAGTTTTACTCTGTTCATTGTAGTGTATTACTCTTTCTTTGGTAGCGTATTACTGTTTTGTTCGTTTCGTGTTACTTTTCCATTTTTAATTATTCTTCCGTCGGTAGGTCATTACTGCCTTTCGAATGCTTCTCTTTTGTTGAAAGTTCATTACTCTTCCGCAGTCGGATATTCAGTCCGGGTAACTTTCCTAACTGGTACAGAAAAAATGCTTTCTGTCGCACGTGTGCATCCTACGTGGCCCATATAAAGGCTAAGTTATCTCTGATTTCTAGGTCACGGCGGTGAGTTTGGGCAAATATTTGTCGAGGTGATTACTTACGCCTGTCACTGCAGGCTTCCTGCGGTACTGACACCTGATACTTCCTGGATTGTTTGTTGGTTATTGGGTCGTCGTTGTTTGGAGAAAATTCGCTTTTGATTTACATACGTGTTTCTCATTTGCGGGTCAGGCGTTGCGAGCGCCCTTCCTAATTCTTATGGAATCCAGGGCCCTATTATAGGGTAAACAAGACTAGACCCACTGCCCATTTAGAAGCATGTCGTAAGAGATGACTAAATTGGGAGCTTCCTTCGAAGTCGAAGAGCATCTGCCTGAGAGGCAAGGAACCAGCAGTTTGCATACAGATGAGTCAGATCTGTAAAATGTATGCACGCGCAACACTCAGGTTCTGGAACAAGACGGCGGTTCAGAAGTGGATGAACAACCAGAACTTTCCGCCAGAGTTTACAGCTGGTGAACGCGAAGAAGAAGAAGACGAAGAATTCTAAGATGCTTCATTCGATCTAATGCCAGCACCTCTCTACCTTCTCCTCCTCCTCCTCCTCCACCACCTCCTCCTCCCCCTCCTAAATCTCCATTACACGCCTCTGATTTTATGTTACCATCAAGCACACAGCTAAAATTATACAGTTGTAATTTTGGTAAAGCCGTTTCGTAAATTCAATTTACATTACGGTGTAAATATTGAAATCCAATAGACGAACAAAGTCGGGATTTTTTTCCCGCGGGTGGTGTAATCTAGAACCCGGAAATCTAGACTTGTGCGGGTAATAGAAATGATTGAAAAGAGGAAGCGATATCGTGCCTCCGGTGTGCAAGAATACGTTGATTTGGAATGTAAATTTCAGCAAGGCGACTGAACAAGTAATTTGTATGGAGTGATTCCAGAGTTGGTAGTTTAGCCCCGAATGAGTCATTTAGTTATCGATGTACTCATGCTTATTTGGTCTGTGTAACACATTGACTCTTTTCGTACTCAGAACCCCCCGCCCCCTAACTCAAACAGTAACAATCTGAGGGTTTGAACCCAAGTCTTTCGAAGGAAAGCTGTGTGTTCAGAAAGCTGTTCGACAGCTTTATAAAATCTATTTTAAAAAAACAGTCACACGCTAATAATGCGATTTAATGTCTGTATTGCATTTACATTCGACATATCACAAAGGCTTAGCGTTGGTGATAGTGTGTTACTGTATCGGTAGTCGTGTGCTAATGCAGGAGCGAGTGGCGTACATAATCGCTGGCCAATTATATAGCTGTCATATTCCAACTACCCTGGTGGTCGTCTGTAGGTTGGAGTGCGCTCATATATCCCTAATTCATGTGTGGGTTCTAGGCCCATATGAGAGGGGGGGGGGGGGCGGGGATAGTCTTAATATAAAAGGTTGCAAGTGGACTAACTACAATAACCGTCTTCCATATTTTACAGCCGATGAACGCGAAAAAAAAAAACAGTCTTACTATTCATGCTCCGGTTAGTTTGACTAATGTGACCTACTCTTTTGGGGGAGACTAATTAGGTCACTTTTCATTCACAAGTTTGTTGGGGTAGTCGACTGTCCTGAAGGTTACGGGTGTGTCCCGCTCTGTTTGGTTTCTGCGGTGTCTTTCATTTATGTTTTTATTCCGAGAAAGAGAATGCCGTTTACAAAAGTTGCAGCATTCTATAGGGAGGTTGTGTTAGACCCAGTTTCTCAGTATTTTTGGAGTGTTAAAAGCGTTGGCGTACTGAAATATACAACACCATTGCAAAACACCTCCGTAACCGTGTGCGAAGGTCACGAGGCTCAGGAACTACCAATCAGAAGTGAGCTAGTGTGTATATGGGCGAGGTCTGGCGAGAACTAACCCATACTCCTTAGTAATTAAACAGTCGCGTGTTGGTTGTTTGTGTGCACGTGCGCGCACGAACGTGGGGTGGTGGAGGGGGGACGCTGACCAAAGCCACAATATTTTAACTCTCCTGACGCACATCAGTGGTGGTGTGTGTGTGGGTGTGTTGTATGCAGGGGTGGGTGTTTAAGTGACTCTGCCAGACAGTGGGTGGCCCCACGGACTTGTATACATCTAAAACATAAACCGGGTTAGTGACCAATAAATGACAGACATGAATCATGTTAGTATCGACGATAAAACAAGCCAGTAAACAGAGGCTAGGCGACCAAACATCGCTGTTGAGCCACTACCAGCTCCAGCTGACGGGCCGTGCTGCTGACATAGCCGGGTCGGTCTTACGATAGGTTAACGCAGCGGTTCTCAGACTGGGTAACCGGGCACCATGGGGTGCTGTGAGCGTATGTCAGGGGTGCTGTGGCTAAAATCAAGAAAAGTCGGCTAAAAATTGTGAAATTATTAAACAATGCATGTAGATACTTAACAGTTGAAATTTTGGTTGTTCTCCCTCACCACTGTCGAAAATAGTTTCTTTCTTGTTTGAGAACGGCTGCGTTAACGCATCGTTAGCCCGACCCGGTGACGTCAGCAGCACGCCCGTCAGCTGGAACCGGTCGTGGTTGGTCTGCCACGTCCTCTAGTTATTCGTTTCTCTTTCCTTTCGCATAATTATATAACCGTCTCCATGTGTGGGTTCCGGGGCCCTGTTATAGGCAAAACAGGAGTAGACCCACTGCCTACCCAAAAGCATGTCGTAAGAGTCGACTAATTGCGAGCTTCCTTCTAAGTCGGAGTGCATCTACCTGAGAGGCAAGGAACTATCGGTCTGCATACAAATAAGTCAGACCTGTAAAACGGATGCACATGCAACACTCAGGTTCTGGAATAGGACTGCAGTCCAGAAGTGGATGAACAACCAGAGCTTCCCGCCAGAACTTACAGCTTGTGAAGAAGAATATAACCGTTTTGTCAACCCCCCCCCCCCCCCCCCTCCCCGGGCAGAAAACGTAAATGTCACTTTACACGCCAGTGGAACATTGGTCATTTGAGCTAGACTCATTTGTTATTTAGACCACTCAATGGGTGATGTGGTCGGCATCACGCCGGTCGCCTTTACCTCCCAGTACTTCACCTGGTACCCTTTTAAGGCCGGTTCGACCTGAAAGTCAAGGTCATGTATGGAGAAAAAAATCCGGCTTTGTGCGGATGTGTACAAACAACTTTCGCATCTGCAGGCGAGTCTCTAACCGCTACACCCGATGACGACTTCCCACCCCAAGCAGATGGTGGAAGAATACATTCGTGTTGTATCCAGATGATGATGATGATGATGATAAGTACTTTAGCAGTCCAGCGGGCGGACCACTTGCTTTTCTTGTTGACCTGTTGAAAACTCCAGAACTTTCGGATTGCTTGTCCACTTCTGGACTTTTAAGTCTTGTTCCAGAATCTGAGTGTTGCGTGCACATCTGTTTTACATGCGTGACTTATATATGTGCCGGCTGTTGGTTCCCTGCCTCTCAACTGATGCACTCAGACTTCGAAGGAAGCTCCCAGTTAGTCCACTCTTAGAACATGCTTGTTG